GTTATATCCCCAGTGACCGTGGACTGTGCTAACGCCATCAAAAAGTACAATGTAGGGATCAAGTGTGCCACCATCACCCCCGATGAGAAGAGAGTGGAAGGTCAGTCTCCTCACAGTCTCCTCACAGTCTCCTCACAGTCTCCTCACAGTCTCCTCACAGTCTCCTCACAGTCTCCTCACAGTCTCCTCACAGGCTCCTCACAGGCTCCTCTCAGACTGCTTTTTCTTCTTTTTTTTTTCTTTCTTCTTTTTTCTCTCTTTTTTTCGGGGGGGGGCTTGCAACTGCATAAGGTCAAACATGAAGTTTCTTATATCTCGTGACAGAATTATGTGTATGTTTCAGAGTTTAAGCTCAAGAAAATGTGACAGTTTTTTATATCTTGTGACAGAATTGTGTTTGTGTGTATGTTTCAGAGTTTAAGCTCAAAACTTGTGACAGAATTGTGTGTGTGTGTATGTTTCAGAGTTTAAGCTCAAGTCTTGTGACAGAATTGTGTGTGTGTGTATGTTTCAGAGTTTAAGCTCAAATCTTGTGACAGAATTGTGCGTATGTTTCATAGTTTAAGCTCAAGAAGATGTGACAAAATTTACATCTTGTGACAGCGAAAGACCTTGTCAGTATGTTAGTGTTTTAGCGCCTATAAATGGCTGCTTGCACTGTATGCTTCTCAGAAAGTTGAAGTTGTTTCCGAATGCTTTCCGGTCTGCTGGGGTAATAGTATAGATTGTGAAGCGCATAGAGCTTGCTGTTGAACGGGGATTTGCATTATACAAATGTTATCTTTCATTATTATGTTTCAGAGTGTAAGCTCAAGAAGATGTGATAGTTATTTATATCTTGTGACAGGATTATGCATATGTTTCAGAGTTTGAGCTCAAATCTTGTGACAGAATTGTGTGTATGTATCAGAGTTTAAGCTCAAGAAAATGTAAGAGTTTTTAAAAATAATTTGTGACAAAATTGTGTAGATGGTTAAGAGTTTAAGCTCCCATCTTGTGACAGAATTGTGGGTATGTTTCATCAGAGTTTAAGCTCAAGAAAATGTGGAAATCCCCCAACGGAACCATCCGGAACATCCTGGGCGGCACGGTGTTCAGGGAGGCAATCATCTGTGAGAACATCCCTCGTCTGGTGCCGGGCTGGATCAAGAGTATCGTCATTGGACGTCACGCTTTTGGCGACCAGGTCAGTTTTGATTATTATAATTTTTTTTGGGGGGTGGGGAGGGGAGGGTGGAAAGTTTCTTCTCTCTTTTTCTCTTTATCTCTTCTTGGCCTCTCTCCCCCTCTCTTTCTGTCTCCTCACACCCTGCTGAGCTCAGCTGTTTGCACAAGGGGAAATAACTGAATATTTGTAGCCACACACAATTAATTGTTGTTCTTGCCTCCCCCCTCTC